CCGGCCCCGGTGCGGCGCGGGAGCTGCGGGGAGTCCCGCTTCTCTGCGGGGGGCGAACGATGGCGAGGAGAGACCGCTTCAAACACGCATTGCAATGTTCTAAGTGCACAGGTCAAAACTCTCCAGCAGTTGTACAAACAGAAGCTGACAAAAACCAGCTAACACACTAAGCGTTGGGCAGCCCTTGCAGAGAGGAATGTAAAGGTGATGATTTCTGGAGAAGCTTTCAAGTTTTTGGTTTTTCTTCTTACTTGGAATCTTTCTCTGGCTAGAAGCTGTAGATAAAAACTAACGTGGACGGAGATCTCGCAAGTAAATTCCAAGTACCACCTCTCTTCCAGATCAAAAGGCCGAGAGGGAATCGTATTCCCTGGACCAAGGATCAGTGACAGAGTTCACTGCTCAAATGGAAGAAAAAGAAATCCACATGCACAACTGACATCCAAAATGGCTCAACATAATTTATTTTTTATGTTAAAATGTACAGAGTTCTTTTGAAAGTACTTGCTAGAAAGGGAAAAAAAAGTGATATTACATACAAGGAGAGGAAGGGAGACCATCCAGCCAGGAGCGTATGACATGGAGAATTACAAAGGCATCTAGGCACCCCTTCCCCTTAGCTTACAAGTCACCATGAACAAAGTACAAAGAGGTTACAAAACAGGAAAAGCAAATATAAACAGACAGGAATAGACTCAGCTTCATTTGTACATGCGGCTTTTAGAGGCATCTGGAGCTCCTATTCACACACTCTAGAGATCTCTTTAAAGAGAATTTTTATCTTTCTTAAAATAGTTTTTAATATTCTACAACAAAGATAAAAAACTTTAAAGATGGAATGAAATGAAAAAGCTCTTATTTTTAAAAGGCATCGAAGTCACTAACAGTGAGATTTTTTTTAAATTTCTTTTAGAAGATTACCCAAGTTATCTTGCTAAAAATACATATTATTTTTTTTAAACAGAAGTGAAAAAATGGTAGGTACCAATATTACTGTGTTGGATAATTTCTTTTTATATATAGAAAAGAACATTTTTTTTCTACAATAGTTCTACAGTCACAAAGGCTTGTGGAAAAGGGAGCTGCCCAATTGATAAAAAAACCATACAAAACCAAACCAAACATAACGGCAAACAAACTAAATTCACGGCCCTCATTTCAACAGCTTCTCCTCCTGTCTCAGACCCCCCCTACCCCCCACCCCCAGCAATCAGGAAGCAGCGACACAGCTGAAGATCTAGGAAGGAGAGGGCAGCACAGTGCGCTTTCTACATGGGTTATTTGGAACTGGAATAGTATATACAGAGAAATGGGGTCCTACACAGCCTTGTACATGCTCAAAACTCAACAGAAATAAAGAATGGAAGTCCTTTGAATTCTGCTTTTTATGGTTAGCAGTTACTGGAGGAAAGTCCATTTTAGTGCATCTGAAGAAACCCCAACTTTCTTTTAGACTCTTTTGGTTTAAAAACAAAAGAAATTAGTCTTACTAATGTGTCTGTATTTCTACTCCATATACAATAAAAAAGAACTTTACATTAAAGGGTGTCCCTTTTTGTATTGGGTGACATGCCAGCAATATGGCCAAAAAGACTGCAAATTGGATTATGCAGTAATAAACAGCAAAATCCTGCCGCCTGCATCCTACTATGGTGTTTGGACTGTTTCTCTCCTGTAAAACAGACCGATTCCCTTCTTTTCCCACACTAGATCAAAAGTGTGGCTATTCCTATAAAATGCGTCTCAAACGTAGTGGGAAAATCAGGGAAAACATCACTGACTCCCCCAGAGAGTGGCACACTCCGCAACTTCCTAGCCCATACCAGGAATGGAAGAGTGACAATGACATCACAGGGTTCCTGTCAAGTCACTTAAAACATACACTTTATCTTCCAAGCTCACCCAGGTAAAAAGACTGAGAGGCAGACCACTGGAATCAGCTGCTTTTGAGCTCAGCCTGACTCAAAGGCTCAGAACCAAGACCCTCAGCATTTCAAAGTACATACTAAAGCAGAGTTTGGGATCTCAGAGTTGTGGCTGACTTGCAGTTCACCAGAAGAGCCTGCAACCGTTTTCTTGTCATAACAGACCATTAGCCATCCTATCCTCCTCATGACTGCATAAGGGATACAAACAGTTCTCTCTTGAGATGCTTCCAGTAGTTCAGAGTGACAGAACATGTGTGCATGCATGCACATGTGTGTGCGCATGCATGTCTGGGTGGTGAATGGGATCATTTTAAAGTTACATCATATTTTCAGCATGAAACATACAATTTCAATTAACTTGTCTACAAAAACACCAGTGTGAATAGTTTATTGTTTACACGTAACTCCAAATTTTACTGAGGGTGAGGGAGTCAGGGAAAAGTAAAGATCAAAAATTTTTCTGACTTGCAGAAATAAAGAACTTCATTTATCCTCTGTGTCCCCTTCCAGGTCTCCCAGTAAGTGCCTCCTGCTAGAAGTAGGAAATGCTAGGTGGGGTTTAGAGGGAAGGGTTGTTGTTATTTGAGATGTCAAACATTTTGCATGACTGCAGCGCTAGAAACTGCATACAGAGGGGCACAGGGGAGGGAGAAGGACATACATTTGGAAAAAAAATTTAGAAATATTATTTCACTGTTACACATATTCTGTCCACATTGTCAGCAAAGTAAGGCTCTTTTTAAATTATGAAAAGATTTTGTGCATGTTTTCCCCTCTAAAAAACATCCATAAATGATTTTAGCTGTAAAATGTTTCAGGATTGTGAAGAAAACAGAAACGCAAAACAAAAAAAAAAAATCCAAAAAATAAAGACCAGGCTTCCTAAAAAATAAAATAAACCAAAGAAAATCCCTCTAAATCTACAGCAATATTTTAACTGGAAAAAGGTCCATTTTCTCTGGTTCGTCAGTATAAAAGGTTCCTTTATTTATATATATTTCAGTTTTTAGGATGCAAGTTCATCTTGCTCATCTTCTCATGTATGGTCCATTGAGAGACTGCTTGGGCACGCCAGCCGCATTCATGTAGCTGTGATGGGAGGGGCCAGTGTACATCATGTTTCCATGAGGATTTGGCTGCATAGGCTGCTGGGTATAGGCCTGGCTCCCCATCATTCCCATCTGCATCTGCATAGGATACTGTGCTGTCTGGTTCATGTAGGCAGGGTTACTATGGTAACTGCTGTTCATCATAGGCTGTGTCATTCTGTAGCTGTTCATGGCATTCAGGGTGTTCATATTCATGGAATTAACATTGTAAGGGGCGGTTGGCATTAGGTTGACTCCCATGTTCATACCCCGTTGAACAGCTAACGTACGAGGACCGGCCTGCATGGCAACTGCAGGTGGGCTGCGGCCATAGAGCTGCTGCTGGTGTGCAGTTGCAGAGGGCAGTGGTGCTGACTTAGAGCGAATGGAAATATGCCCCTTGACTGGCATTTGCCCCTGCAACCTCTGTGTATGTGGAATACCAATATTGGTAGCAGACATATTACACTGAAGCAGAGGTGACGTGAGGTTCATGGTGGTGGACGCCAGGTTTGGTGGGGGTGTCATAGTGGCTTGTGCTTGTGGTGTGCCTGCTAATGGATGAGAGGGAGCTAGCTGAGCCAGTCCTGTGTTGGACAGAGAAACGCTGGTTGCATAGGAAGTCACAGCAGGAGAATGGCTATAAGGCATGGCATGAGGGTCCATAATGGTGTTTGTCAGCTGCTGCAACTTGGCTAAACTGAATGTGGCTGATGGTTGCGAATAGCCCCCAGCACCAAAATCCCCTGGAATCCTCTCATAGATACTTATGTTACCAGTACTTCCTGATTCCGGTATTTCCATGATCATAGGCGCTGGGGTGAAGCTGTTGTTCATGCTACACTGAGACAGCGGAGGCTGTTGCTGGGGTGGAGGTGGGGGCTGTGGCTGCTGTGACTGAGGCTGTTGCTGTTGTGGCTGCGTTGTTGGTTGCTGGTTACTTGGAGGCCTTTCTACTACACAGCTCTGAGGTGATTTGATATTGCAGTTTCCTGCAGGTGGGACAGTGCTTTGCTGCATCATGCTGCAGCTGCTGCCAATGTTTGCCATTTGCTGAGTGACAACACAGCTGTTCTGAGTGAGGCTGCTAGAAGATGACAGTCCTCCATACGAACAGCTGCTCTGGGAAGAGTTATTTCCACAAATGCTGCCTCCCATAGTGGAGTCATAGCTGCTGGGGTTTTCATAATTCTCTGTAGTGCTCTCAATGCTGCCAAGGTCACTGAAGCCACTATCCACCACCTGCTGAGAGTGGTCCGATACTGAAGGCACATCCATCATGGGGCTGGTCTCCATGTTCTGCATAGAGGGTGCGGACAGGGATCCTTGTTCAGGACTTATCTGGGTGTAACTGCTCTCCAGAGCAGGCACATTTGGGCTGCTGACAGAACGTACAGACTGGCTGGGGTGGGACTGAACAGAGGATATTGGGCTGTTGTGTTCTGAGGCCTGACAATCTTCAACCATTGATATCTGAGGATCCTCCTCAGTCTGGGTGTAACTCTGCAAAGTCTGACAAGCTGCAAGAGTTTCTTCACAGTCCTGGTAAGCTACATCATGCTCGTTGCTTTCCTCCTGTGTCAAGGACTGGACTGCTTGAACAGTTTCAAGATCTAGTTCACTATGAGGAATGCCTTCCTCTTCCTTTAATTCAATTAACCCTTCTTTATTACTTTGCTCTTCTTCGTGATCATCTTCAGACCCAGGGATGTGCTCTGAGCCCACCGATGTCTCATTGGAAGCCTGCTCTTCCTCAGAATCTGCCTCTGCTTCATCTTTTTCTTTTGCATCTTCTCTACTGCTTGGTATGCTTGTTTCTAAAAAACATTCTTGCACCTGAGGCTCCTCCTTCACCCCTTCTCTAACAGGCTGTTCCTCCAATTCTTTTTTCTTTACAGACTCCAGATGACCATCATCTTCGTCATCAGCATCATGATCTTCATTTTGATTTGTCACTACTGCAACTTCCTCTTCTTCCTCGTGGTCATGCTCAGGTTCATCTAGTTCTTGCTGTTCTTCTTCTGATTGCCTTTGCTCTTCTAAAACCCGCGGCTTCTCCTCTACCTCCTCTTCTATCTCAGGCCCTTTTACTTCTGGCACTGGACTGCTGTTGCTATCCACAGGAGAAACTGCTCTTACTTCACTGCTAGCTGTATCTTCCTCTTCTCCCTCTCCTACCTCTTCTGCTTCCATATTCAGATCTTCCTCTTTCCTTTCCTCAGTAAGAGGCAGCTCCTCTTTCTGCTCAACACTTTCTTCTTTATCTGAAATTCTGGGCTTACGCCCTGGTTTTGAATTAGCTACCACCCCATCAACCCCTTCATCCTGAACTGACGGTGGCACCTTTTCCTGGCTCAGTTTAAAACCTGGTTTTCGACCAGGTCTTTTCTTCCAGTGGACTGGTTTTCGGCTTTTCCCTTTTGGCCATCCCTTCTTCTTTTTCATGGGTGTAGAAGTATCTGGCTCAAACGAAGAATCCTTTGCTTCACATTTTCTCAGCATAGATAATGGATTCAAAGTTGGGTTACCTGAAAACACAAATTGAAAGATACTGTTCAAACATTTTTGTTTGACCTAAGCATTCATGGAAGCCTTCCCAAGCATTCCCATCATGTTTATCAACTTTACGTATCAGTACTAGCTTAGAGATTTATTGTGAAGAGTAACAAGAAGGATCGGGGTCTGCTCATTTGTGATCACATTCCATGTTACATTTTCAATGAAGACCAATGCTTTCAAGATTTTGCATGGTCAAAGCTCTGAGCCTTTAATATACAATTCAAATTAAACACTAGGCTATATGATAAAGTCCTGGAAAGATGCACCGCCCTTTACAAATTTCATTTATACAATACGTTCACAACTGAAAATGTTCCAGTGTAGGGGAACACATGAAGTTGCAATAAAAGCACGTTTCCTTTTAGATCTCTATTTTGAATCTGCTGAAGAAAGGAAATATTTCCACTTTTTTCATGGCTTATGCTTTTAAATGCCAACAGAAATACACAGATGACAATGTGGCTAGTGTTGTGTTTTTTTTTTTTAATCTGAGAAATCATTAAAAGGAAGCTGAATTTCTCCCTCGTCTGACTTTTAGTTGATGAAGTAAGTTTTGCAATTCATGGCTTTCTAAACACTAGAATAGGTTCAGAACTTACACAGCCAGAAAGGAATGTGATCATTTACTGAGAACTTTCTGAATACTGTAAGGCATTCCCTGAACTAATTTTGTTTTGAACCTGTCAATTAGGAGAGTCAAGTGACATTTTACATTTTAACTGCTAGTAAACTACTGCAATAGTTAATCATTGACCCTAGTTGATATTCACACTTTACCATCTGAATTTCTGTCTTCAGACACTGAATTTACTTAATCCACTTTTGTATTAGTTTTCATTTATCTGCTAGGCAGAACATCTCTCTTGGGAAATAACAGTTCTCACCTAAGTAAACTTATCAAGTCACTCTTTTGCCTCCACTTTCTTTGAATCTATCATTACAGAACATTTGTTCTAGTGTCTTAATCAGCCCATGACTGTTCTTTGAACTATTCCAGTTTATCAACACTCTTATCAAGTGTGAATAACTGAGTAAAGACGGTTGTAATACTTTCACCAAAGCTAAATAAAGAGATGACAGAATGTCTCTACTCCACTTAAGATTCCCCTGTTCATATATTTAAGGATTATCCGAATCTCTTTGGCTTTGAGCTAGAAAACCACACTAATTATTGGACATGACCTTCACACACTCTCACAGACGTTGTCAGTGAATTGCCCTTCACTTCATTTACCAAATCCCCTCTTCTTCTGTCAGCTGCTACATTATTTTTCAATCTATCCATAAAACAGCAGTACAAACAGACACATGACGCAGACCAATCTCCCTTAGAACAGAATAGTTCTGTTGGAGTGGACCTACAATGATCATCTAGTCCAACTGGCTTGCACCCCGCTAATAACAAAGCTGCTTAATTACTCCTTGTTTGCAGTTTGATTTATTTAATATGTGATAACTTGACTCTGTAACATTTCAGCTTAAGCAAATGGTTTTGATTAAGTCAAATATCCCTCAAAACACTAAGCAGGTAACATCAATTTCTCTTATTAACCTAGCTGTAGTCTCATAAAAATACATCATTGTCTGACAAATGCATTTTTCATATACCAGTGTTCATTTGTATTGAGCAAATAACCCTCCCTGGACTTTCTACCGAGTAATAAGCCAGTCATCCTACCATTTAAATGAGGATGAATGTCACACTGACAGGCCTATATTTAGGTTGGTCATCCCACTATGTGGATATAAGATTAATTTCCCCCCAATATTAAGAATATATTTATTCACATTTCTGCCGTTTCTACCATCTTAAAAAATGTTATTGACTCTATGCTATGAATTTCCTAAGAAGAGCTGTTTAAAGTCCACAGTTATGAAACAAGGGTAAAACTAAATAATGTGCTCCTAGTAGTTCACAAATGCTTCTTAAAACCTAATCGTAGGTCAGCTGAGTTACTCCTGCCGTTTGTTCAGACAGTCATTTACTCTAAATATCTCTGAGGAGAAGCATTCTGAAAAAAATACGCATATTAAAAAATGAATTTAAAACAAATACTGAATTAAAGAATTCCTTGAACTCATCCATAAAACAAGTATTTGGAATGTGAATAAAGGAAAGAAAGGATCTGCCACAGTCAGCGTATCATGGGGCAGGAAGAAGGACACACTACTTTCATAGTATTTATTAAAGCATTAACACTTAAGACCTTAAAAAAAAATACACCTCAAAAAAAAAAAATTGCTATTTCTCTTCCCCTTCTTTCACATTTCCTATCTACTACAGAGGATTAGATTTACCACCTCTTAGGTGAAGACCCATTGCTGTTATCTGTACTTTCATGGATTTAATATTTTTAGTAATAGAAAAAAAAAGTAAATTATCTTATGATGGCAGGCTCCCCTTATAATAATGTAGTATTAAAGGTGTTCAGTCTGGGCTCCACAGTATAAGACAGACATGGAGCTACTGGAGAGAGACCAGCGAAGGCCACTAAGATGTCCAAGAGACTGGAACACCTCTCTGATGACAAAAGGCTGAGAGAGCTGGGACTAGAGAAGAGAACGCTCGGAGAGAACCTTTAATTAATGTGTACAAATGTCTTAAGGGAGGGTGTAAAGAAGATGGAGCCAGGCTCTTTCCAGTGGTGCCCAGTGCCATGACCAGAAGCCATGAGCACAAACTGAAACACAGGAGATTCTATCTGAGCACGAGGAATCACTTCTTTACTGTGACTAAGAACTGGAACAGGCTGCCCAGAGAGGCTCCAGAGTCTCCCTCCTTGGAGATATTCAGAAGCCATCTGGACATGGTCCTGAGCAACTCGCTCTTAGTGGCCTTGCTTAAGCAGCAGGACTGCACAAGATGACCTCCAGAGGTCCTTTCCAACCTCAAGGGACTGTGATGCTATGATTTTTACCATATACACGACACCATCTTCACAAAAGAATATGGATTTGATGACCACTCAAGATTTCACGTGCGTAATTTTTTAGGATACTGAGAAACATATGTACGTGCTCATTCAGTTGCACTCAGCTAAACGTCAGTGTGCACGCAAGCTTGAACAGAAGATCATTACAGCATTCACATTCACAGTAGAACTTACAGGTAGAACTAGGAAAAGCAAAATAATACAGCCCAGCTTATTACAGAGCTGCATCTTCCCCCACACAACACTGATCGAGTTGCACAGAACTGGCAGAATATAGAGAAACGATCTTTATTTGTTTTCTACACTGCAGAACACAGTCCTCCCGAATGCCTAACCCTTATTAAATACTGGCCTCAAATCACCACACCACACTATCAGTTCTCACTGTAGCCCTGACAGCAATCAGAACCAATTCAAATTCTCATGCGACACCAAAGGTTACATTTCAGGGAAATCATAAAACACTTTCAATGCATTGCCTCAGCTAGAGATTAAGTTCTCAGGGAAAATCTAACCCAAACCACCCTTAGTTCGAAATTTGTTTGTTTTGGGTTTTTTTCTTAAAAAAAAAAAGGGGGGGGGCGGCGGGGATTACGAGCAGGTTTCTGTAGTGATGGGAAAACTTCCAAAATAACTAAGCTTCCTATAAACATTCCTAACATAGTTATGATTATGGAATAGCTTACTTTGGGTGTCATCTCTAAGCAAGTAAAGAAGGTTATCAAGAGTAGCCAAAACGGATTCACCAAGTGGAAATGATGCTTGACCAATCTGATAGCTTTCAATAATGGCACAGCTGGCTGTAGACGAGAGCAGTGGGTGTTGTCTACCTAAACTTCAGCAAGGCTTTTGACACTGTCTGCCATAACATACTCATTGGGAAGCTCAGGAAGTGTGGGCTAGATGAGTGGACAGTGAGGTGGATTGACAACTAGCTGAACGGCAGAGCTCAGAGGGTTGTGATCAGCGGCACAGAGTTCAGTTGGAGGCCTGTAGCTAGTGGGGTTCCCCAGGGGTCAGTACTCAGCCCAGTCTTGTTCAACTTACTCATCAACAACCTGGATGAAGAGACAGAACGTGTTGATATGAAACTGGGAGGAGTGGCTGATACACCGGAAGGCTGTGCTGCCATTCAGCAAGACCTGGACAGACTAGAGAGCTGGGCGAAGAGGAACCTGATTACGTTCAACAAGGGCAAGTGCAGGGTCCTGCACCTGGGGAGGAATAACCCCATGCACCAGTACAGGCTCAGGGCTGACCTGCTGGGAAGCAGCTCTGCGGAGAGGGACCTGGGTGTCCTGGTGGACGACAAGTTGACCATGAGTCAGCAGTGTGCCCTGGTTGCCAAGAAGGCCAATGGGATCCTGGGGTGCACCAAGAGGAGTGTGGCCAGTAGGTCGAGGGAGGTTCTCCTCCCCCTCTGCTCTGCCCTGGGGAGGCCCCATCTGCAGTACTGCGTCCAGTTCTGGGCTCCCCACTTCAAGAAAGATGAGGAACTACTGGAGAGAATCCAGCGTAGGGCTACGAAGATGATGAGGGGACTGGAGCATCTCCGCTACGAGGAAAAGCTGAGGGAGCTGGGGCTTGTTCAGCCTGAAGAAGAGAAGACTGAGAGGGGATCTTATAAATGCTTATAAGTATCTTAAGGGCAGGTGTCAAGAGGACAGGGCCAAACTCTTTTCAGTGGTGCCCAGCGACAGGACAAGGGGCAACGGGCACAAACAGAAGCACAGGAAGTTCCACCTGAACGGAGGAAGAACTTCTTTACAACTGAGAGTGCACTGGAACAGTCTGCTGAGAGGGGTTGTGGAGTCTCCTCTGAAGATATTCAAAACTCACCTGGATGCAGTCCTGTGCAACCTGCTCTATGTGAACCTGCTTTAGCAGGGAGGTTGGACTAGACGATATCCAGAAGTCCCTTCCAACCCGTATCATTCTGTGACTAAAATAGTCTAAGTCTCAACCAAGTATTAATGACTGCAATACTGTATTTCTGAATTGTCATAAGGCAGTGCTGCCCCCCTCCACCCATCTTATTTTTTTATCAAAAAAGGCCAGGTGTTTATGGTGACCAATTATCCCAATGGGGTAACATATTTAGGTAACTGAAAGTACATTTTATTTTCTCCAAGATCATTACAGTTTTACTACACATATGCAAAGGCACCTGCATTAAAGGCATAAGCAGCCACAGATACTGTTTGATGTCAGGAGCAGCAATATCCTAAAATAGTGTGCTCACTACTTTATTACTTAAGAGGTTCTGACAAATTTGCAGCAGTTGAGGAAAAAAAGCAACAGAAGTGACACAAGGGAACAGAAAGCACTAAATTACAAATAAAGAGTAAGAAAGTAAAGTATTTATAAAGTAGGTGAGCAAGAAATTTATCATTGTAGTATATAACAGATGCGAGTTAATACAGTGGCTTTCCAAATAACGTTTTTGATCCCTGGGCACTCCATGGACTATCTGCAGTCTGCAAAAGATGGTTAAAAAAATCACCTATGTATTTTATAAAGCAATATATGTGTGTGAAATCTTTGAAGCGATCTGCATCTCCACCAGAAAACATTCAGAAGAGCACAAATGAAAAAGCCTGAAAACCACTTATCTAACAGATCTTCTCCTCACTTTATAGTCTTATTAATGGTGCTGGAGAACCATATAAATGTATTTCACGAGTAATCTGATCACAACAGAATTAAAAAAATGGTATAAGATGATTGTGCATATAATCCCACTAAGCAAACTTAATGGTGCATCAACACATGTTTGCACTAAATTTACTTAGTTATATACTGCTATAAAAATTTAAGGATAACTGATACTAAATGGATAGTACACATGGCTGTAATCATATTGATGCTTTCAGTATTTAAGTACTTTTAAAGAAAAATTCTCCTCTGCTAACCACAAGCTATCTGAAAGCCATAAATTATTGGGTTTGTTCCAGTAATGATTTTTTATTGTGGGATAATGGCACCATACTTCTCTTTCACACAGTTCTCTATTTCACTGACTGCCTTGCACTATGTAGACCATCAAGAGAACAGAATGTGTAACAGCCATAATGAAGATTACTAATGGAACATCTTAATGACAGATGTTTCTTTTGAATTGTCAGTGCACTTCAAGTAACCAGTTCCAACCAAATAATTTTATGAGCTGAAGGTTCAGAGAACTTTAAGGAGATATGAGAAGCTGACAGGCAGGACATGCAATGTGATGAAGAACAGGATCTCAAAAGAGACAATTTATTGTTTTCCTTTGTTATGGAAAACTGAGGGCTCTCCAATTCATTTCTGTTTTATTTCTGTAAGCGACCCCACTGTATAGCTTCTTCCACAATCACAGATACCAATTTCACCAGGAAAGCTGAATCAAAAGGGTACCTGTGATCAGGTCATTGCTAGTAAGACAGTTAAAAGCATGCACCATGTTTTCATAAGACTTGGGAACGTTTGAGGCGGTTTGACTGGTAATTTATGCCTAACCCTACATTTTGGCTAGCAGTTACAAGACAATGTAAGCGGCTTGTTCCATCGTGAGCTCGTGTCATCTGGCACTCACTGACACACTACTGATATCAAACTTTCAACAGCATACCACCAAACATACCATTAGTGTCATCAGACTCCTCCTCATCTTTGGACTTCCTCTTAGAAGAGGGTCTATGCCTCAGTGTGTCTGGTGGGGCTAGGTGTCGAAAGTATCCACTGGGCAAAAGTTCACTCTCCTCCTCTTCATCCTCCTCCTCCTCTTCCTCCTCCTCAATCTCAAATGTAGGCTCTAATCGGGGCATTGGTCGTTCAGAGTCTGAGTCCTCAAATGGTTCATCCAGCACTTCTGTGGTTTCTGAGATTGTTTCAGTGACAACACTGCTGTTGTGGTGATTGGTTTCTGAAAGAGAAAGGTGGGAGAAGAAAAGACATTTTATCACGTGCAGTAGAAATAAAACCACTGATAACATGAACAGCAGAGCTCAACTATCTAGGCAGGACCAGAGGGCTCCCTTCTGGAATCCAGACTTCACTAGAAATACTGACGGCACCTGCCTTCAGTTAAACAGATGTCAAATACAATGCAAGCCAACCGACTTCCATGAAGACTGCTAGATTGACGTTTGTGTAACAGTATACACCATTTAAACAGCTGAAAGTTCAGAGACACTACAACATAGATGTGAATAGTTTAGAATAAGCTGCAAAGATGATATAGAAGAGAACTTTTTAGTGCAGCATCCCATGAAGCGAGGATTTTCTTGGTCATGTTGACAGAATTCACATCTCCATTGTAAACCATTCCGAAGACTTTTTGCTGTGATTTTAGTTGTTCAGGTAGCATTTGTGTTTTGGAAGCTTCTTTTAAAAGTAGGACCATATCTGTTTCTATGTTGTGTGACTGAGTAAAACTTCAATAACCAAGGGGAAAAATCAAATGCACACAGCAGAAGCTAGAATGAAAAAAAACCCAAAACAACCCTACCTCTGATTCAACAAAAACTACCACTATAAAAGGTAGCAGAAAGTATTGTCTAGACAGAGTTCTGGAACACTGAGCAGATGCTACCTGTACACTTAGTACATACCCCATGAATTGCACAATCATTCAGAAAGTACCAACATACTGACAAAACAGACTGCATGATATAGTCAGAGACAACCAGAAATAAAGCACACACCTTTCGTTTTAACGTTGGCTTGGTGAGAACAGGTGGAGAGCTTGATCGAGGACTCACAGGCTCATCATCTTCATCTTCACTACTCTCACTAAAACACCTCAGAAGTGCTCTATCACTATCACTGTAGCGGCGGGGTAATCTGTCGCAGTCCTCCGGGAATCTACACTTCAGTGGCTCCATGTTCTTTTTCAACTGCCCTCTCCACCTTTCCATACCTTCGCTGTACCGCCGACGGGGAATTGCAGATTTTTCACCTTTGCCATACTGTCCCTGGGAAATGGCAGATTTTTCCTCATCTTCAGCATACCGGCCTCTTGGGGCTGGAGATTTCTCCTCACATTCACCACATCTTCCTTGCAAGGCCACTGACTTCTCCTCACAGTCACTGCATCGGCCTCGTGAAGCTGCTGATTTCTCCTCACATTCACTGCATCGCCCACTGGGAACTACTGTTTTGTCCTCAGTGGGCAATATTGGCTCCTTCTCACAAAAGGGCTCCCGAAGTTTTTTGCCCTTGCGGTTCCATCGACCTCTTCGTGATGGCTGACTGTTTGCAGGAAGACTATCCAGGGGAAAAATGTGCTTGTTTGGCCGTGCAGAATTGGCTGGAGCAACAATGTCTGGCTTTTTTTCACTCTCTGTAGGTGAGTAAGGTTCTTGCTCTTTCTTCTCCCATGACACAGATTTTACCATCTGATTTAAATAAAAACAAATAAATTTCACAATTCCTGTTTAAGCATGCATGTCTATCCTGAATTTGATTCCACAAAAGCTTTTGAGCAAAAAGTCAGAAAAGTTTATCAAGAATGATTTTTAAGAATCTCAGAATAACAAAAGAATTGACCACTAGGAGAGTCTTAATAGTGCTAACTGCTACTCCTTTCCTCCCAGGTGATAATGTACCTCAATTAGCTTCCCGACAAGTGACTTCAGTCAGCAACAGCCATCCAGTGGCCTGCTGAAATGCAAACATCAACTTTCTACATTCAAACACGGTATTTGTGTAATTTTCAAGAAAAAAAGTGAGAAAAACTTGAAGCTATTTTTCCATTAAAATTAACAATTAGTTTAATGGTAATACTGAAAAAGTGCATAATTTGCCTCTCGGTATTCTAGTCAGTGCTTATCGCCTGATGTGAGAGAGCAACCCTTCAAGGACAGCAGCCTAGATTTCAGAGACCTTCATTGCTCTGTGGGCAGTAATTCTAAAGCTATTAGTGGTTTTGCAAAAGTACACAGCAAAAACCTTTGGTGAAAAACGTTGTAAGCTTTTGTTGATTCATTTCCATTTATGCTATTTGTCACTTACGGAAATACTGGGTCCTTCAAACCTCAATTCATTTCAATAATTTGATGAGACCCCAGGCTGCTTAAGAGTGGAAGGCAGGTTTTTTGGCTGTTTTTTTTGATTTCTTGTTTGTGGGTGGTTTTGGCTGGTTGGTGGTTTGTGGGGGTTTTTTGTCGTTTTTTTTTTAACCCCGCTCCCCCAACACATACTGCAAAAGTCATTAAGGGTAGAAAGAGCATTTTTACTCTTTTCAGAGATAGACTTTAACCTTTCTTTAGACTGCACTTCAGTGTTTTCCCTAGTTTTAGCTTTTAATCTGAAACTATAAAGGATCATAAACTAATCATGACTGCATTTCTTTTCATGATTATGCCAAATGCCCAAGCTTGGCATCTGAAATCATTAGCATCGCCTGCAAAAGCACGAAGTATAAACTATATGCCACACAGAAGTAACAGATTCACTCTTACATTGGTCTCTGGATCCTTTTCTTTCTGCTCTTGTTGCTCTTCATTTTCCCCATCCTCTGTCTCCTCTTCTTCATCTTCAGAGACAACCGAGTTGGAAACTATAACAGGTGTCCAACGCAGACATTCTGCATCCACATCTATAGGTCGGACATTAGTTCTAAGTTTTGCCATATGTTCCTGGATAAGTTTCTCCCGACGAATGATCACAAATCTAAACAGTAATAATACTCTGATCAACAACAGGCTACATACTGCACATGTTTTCATGTGAAGCAGATATAAGATATTACAGAAAAATCTGTGCACTGTCAATCACTGCTGCCATGAATAACTTCATGAATAACTAATAACTGGCAAGAGAGGACAGAAAGCTCATTAAAATTCTACAATATGCAGTACCGTCAGACTACCAGAGAAAGCATCTTAAAACCAAGGAAATGCTGTTAAATCCTTTCCACTTCTTGTTAATGGTGAAGCCATTACCCTTCTGCGGGTAACATTAAGCTACAGCGTATCACTTTTATTATTTGTTAAACAGACAAGGGGTACACCACTTAGGGAATAGGCAACATAAGGTGAAAGACAGCGAATGGTAATAAAAGGACTGTTTTGAAAAGTTACAGTCCCACTGTAACTAACAGTGGATTTTATTCCGGGGTCTGGGACTAGTATCATTGATTAAAGTATACTGTGAAATGAGGACATAAAACTGTTCTCCAAAAACTTCAAGTTTTCCAAATAAGTTCCATGTTTAACACAAAACACAGCAGAATACAACCCCACTCTCAAAACTGCTATGGCATGAATCAAGAATAATTCCCCGTATTTCACTTGACTTGTACGCTGAGCTGGCAAGCAGACTGCCTCTATTCTATATCCACACACCTCATTTCTCTCAGTGATCTATCCCACTGTTCAAGCATCCCATGTTAATCCACACAGTTAATATTCTCTTTGAGGCACAGAGAAAACAACTGTGTGCTCAGTGTCTGGAAAAAGGAACAGATTTCCCTCCAGAGAAGGGAAGTTGCTGTTCTTTGCTCTGTTTTGCAAGTATGTTAGATTGATTATGCTGAGGGACCCCAAGAGATCGTGGCCACGAAACCAACTCGCTTTCTCTCACAGCTGCAAATTACTCACAAGTTCCACAGCTGCAGAGCTACACAGCAGAAATCTGATCCAGCTTTGGCACTGAACAATTCTTGCATCGCATATGAGCATCAGAAATCTCTACAGGCAGCATTTGGACACTTAAGTCCTAAATAGAATCAAGCTTATTAGATGTGACTTGTCTCCAAACACTGTTAAATTTCATTCAAATACATCTGAAGCTTTTTGGGAATACAACAGGACTCCTGTACTCACTGATCACTACGGAAGTCAAGCATTCGTAGGTGATGTAGAGTGGAAGTGATATCCTGAGGGCAGATTCCAGTCAGCTTACTCAATTTCTTGATGCTTAATTGCTTGTCGTGTTGATGATAAAGGCACTCCAATATTACACTTTTCCAATAAGCCATATATGAGAGGCGCCCCAGGTCTGACAGGGGCTTCTCTGGTGATCCTGCTTGACCCTCACGCTTTGAAAGCAAATAGCCTAAAGATATACAAGAAAAAATGTTCAAAAAAATTAGCATACACAGCTTCTGTTTCCACCTCAAATTCTACAAAGGCATTTTTCCAGAAAGTAGTTGAATGCCACCTACAAGATATAAATTATAATTATGAAGGATATACTGAGCGGTCTGGCTGATCATTTTTTTTTTTGTTGTTGAAAGTCCTGTTATTCAATGATGGAGTATGATTTCTAATCAACACTGACATCAGACATTGCCTATGGGCAATGCCACAAGATGGCAGCAGTTGCCTAATTAGAAACTGTACTAAGCCTCAAGTACACAAACTGTCTGATGAGTATCTTCCAATTGCAATAGCAATTTTGAAGATCACAGAGAGAAAACATATTTAAGCCACTTCAAACTAATACGACAAAAATTTGATTGAAAATTCTCACTGTCAAACTTCATGACCAAACTGGAAAGTACCAAGCTCTATCTGCAGGGACTTAATTAATTTAAGACTGTGATACACTGCACAGGTTCAGTAAAGACCGAGAGATTGCATCCTGCCAAAGGGGAACCAGCTGACAAAAGTGTCTTCTCTCTGCTGCTCTGCTATAGCCCAGATACATTAAGTTCCTTTGTTTCACCAAGATTTTCAAGAGAACAACTTATCTACAGAAGTATATTTACCAGAAAACTCATTCTAATATACTTATACCAGTAGTATTTTCCCTCTGGACATTAACTCCAAAATTAGCACGTCCTCAGGGAGGGCTACATTAGATTGCACTCAGCATGAGTGATATAGTTACAGTGAAAAGTTTCCCCATGAACTTGTCAAGATCCATGTATGAATCTAAGAATTGTCCGAGTATTCAGAGCTTAAGTATCTCTGGTTTAGTTGCTCTCAAAGCTATATTAAAACATAACTATGACTACCTTTTGCTCAAGACACTCCTTCACTTAATCAAGCTGCTGAAGGTTTCAATGGACCGTGCAGTTTTAGGGTTGGCTTTCTGTAGAAAGAACTACATGCATAAGGTAAGCTTTTGCTGAAACCACTATGCTGACACATGCCTATAGTTTCCACTGTAAGTTGTCTACACAGGAAACATGAGAATTAGGGGGAAAACGATCAATTTGTCTTTAGAACTGAAGCCTTTCAACAATAATAATAAACTGTGAAGTTCAGATGATTTTGTGAGGTTTAGAATCCTTTGGCCTGAGATTTTTTTGATTTGAAAAATATCCTCTTCCACAGTTAAGCCTTTCTTTAAAATATGAAAAGACAAAGACTAAAAGAAGTGAAAAAAAAGTTCCTTACTGAAGTCAATTAGGAATCTGCCATAGCCCTTACGCTGGTATTGTGGAAGAATCATTATACAGGAAACATTGTACTTCTGTTGGCAGTGTTTTTCCTGTTGGAAAACAAACAGCAAATTTAAAAAAAAGCAAACAATGACCAGTGAGAAATAGTGGAAGTTGTTTTGTATAAGTCCCTAAATACTTCTACAGTAAAAACTGAGACAGAAAGCCACAGTCAAAGTTTCTTAGGCACAACAATGTACATGAGCCAAGCAAAGACTCAGAAGAGAGAATAATAATAAAAGAGAGAATAATACCGAGACTCCCTTACCATCATCTGAGTTCAAAAAAACAAGAATGAAACCTTTACATAACTACCATCTTCTGCTTAGATACAATACAGTAAAGAACATGGGCCGCACGGCAGATAAAGTTCAAAGCATAAACCAAAAGCAGCTAGATTCACTGAAAAAGATTGCCATATTCCAATGAATCTTTAAACGTTATAACCATAACACACTAAAATCCAATCTCAAATCTGCTGTTCTGGAGACTGAAAGGAAAAGCTTCAATTAAAGCTAATTAAAAATAAATAAAACAGTTACAGACAAAAATCTTAAGAAAAGGCCTATCTGAAATCTTGGCCCTGTTCCGTCAAAAAAAATGAAAGGATTGAAATAAGGTTCAAAATTGCCAAACTTTTTTTGAAAACAATGTATTTACAGAAGGAAAGATGAGATATAAGTACTTGGTAACAATGTTTATCTCGCAAACAGTACTATCCATCGCCACCAAGAGCAGGAAGTAATTTGAAGAGTTGGGGTTTTTCTTAGCTACTAGCTGCAGTACAAGTTCCTTAGAGAATACACGCTATTCAGCATTATGAGGAAACTTGGTTTTATGCGTTGGTGTAGTTGGTGGTCTCTGAATGTAACGTAAACAAAGTCCGATTGCAACAGATGTCTATATCTATATTACATAATACATTACATATATGACCTGGACAGGATGGAAAGTTGGGCAGAGAGGAACCTGATGAAATTCAACAAGGTCAAGTGCAGGGTCCTGCACCTGGGGAGGAACAACCCCATGCACCAGTACAGGCTTGGGGTGGACCTGCTGGGAAGCAGCTCTGTGGAGAGGGACCTGGGTGTCCTGGTGGACGACAAGTTGACCATGAGTCAGCAGCGTGCCCTGGTTGCCAAGAAGGCCAATGGGATCCTGGGGTGCACCAAGAGGAGTGTGGCCAGTAGGTCGAGGGAGGTTCTCCTTCCCCTCTACTGTGCCCTGGGGAGGCCACATCTGCAGTACTGCGTCCAGTTCTGGGCTCCCCCCTTCAAGAAAGATGAGGAGCTACTGGAGAGAGTCCAGCGCAGCGCTACGAGGATGATGAGGGGACTGGAACATCTGTCCTATGAGGAAAGGCTGAGGGAGCTGGGGCTTGTTCAGCCTGAAGAAGAGAAGGCTGAGAGGGGACGTTAGAAATGCCACCTGGACAAGCTCCTGTACAGCCTGCTGTAGGTGACCCTGCTTCGGCAGGAGGGTTGGACTAGATGACCCACAGAGGTCCCTTCCAACCCCTACCATTCTGTGATTCTGTGATTACATAAAATACAAGGGCCTAAATTCCAATAATTTAAAGACTCTGAAGCAGCATTTCTCAACACAGCAAATGCAGTTCCAAGTCTGAAGTACTCAAATACTTGCCTTGGAAAAGTAGCCAACGAGGTGACAGCCCTTGACATCATTCTGTGTCAGCACATAGAAAAGAAATGGCTCCACGTCATAATAGAGAGTCTTATGGTCCAGGAAGAGTTTGGCTAACAAGCACAAATTCTGGCAGTAGATAGTGCTGACATTGCCATCAACCTTACAGAAATAAGGAAAAGTTTTTGTCACTCCATTTGCTGTCATGCAAGGACATGCTTCATCTGGGTATCCCTGTATATTTGAAATGTCTAACATGAGAGGAAGACTTCTTTGTCGCAGGTAGCATCTCAAAGGACTTAAACTTCTACAGCATAAAGGCCATGGCCAAGTTACTGCTACATTCATTAGCTTAAGAGAGAACATAAAATTCATTTACCTAAAATGAAAAAGCATTTTTACAAAGTGAGCCTTCGCATATGTTTTATGGATGAGTAATCTATACATGAGGTCAGCTCCCGCCGCTTGCTTGTAGTTCTTCACTCTTAGCGACTGAATGCTTCAAGAATGAAGACCTTTAGGGCTATGGAAAACTTGTCACATGATTGGATGCTAAAGACCCTATTTTATAGACAAAAGTAAGTGGCTTAGTTTTCTAACTTACCTCAAAGACTGAAATATTGTTTTTTCTGTAAATTTCATTGGCTGGAGGATGAAACCAGCCACATTTTTTCATATGCTGTTGGAGAATCGTTCTGCTTTTCATATACTTTAGACAGAATTCACATAGGTACAACTTGGGTAGCCTGTAAGCGAAGATAAAGAAGGATCAAAGACTGAAGATACAGACTTTTGTATAAATTCCTCACTTCTGCATAGAGCGAACTTGATGAAAACAAACCTAGTATATAGTGACCTTGTGTATGTGCTAATCAGGCCAAAATCACCTTACCATTGTTGGTGTTGGGTTGAAGGTTGGACTTCATGATCTTAGAGGTCTTTTCCAACCTTAATGATTTTATCATTCTATCATACTTAAAGTCATGGCATTTATTCTCTAACAAAGGCATATTAAAAAAAATATACTTTATGTCCCACATAATTACTTTTACAGTATCATGTCAGAAGAAATATATGCATTGATTAAAATCATAGAAAAAATAGCAAAAAATCCCTCCAGTTTTGCACTAGTGACGCTAGGATGGATTAGATAAACAATTCCTATTGTCTCCCTTCCCTCCTCCTAACAGACAGCTGTATGTACTCCTGAGCAATGGGTCACAACACCATCTATCTGTTTGCTTGAAAACTATTTTATATTTACATACTATATTGACATGAACAGTTTGAATGCAAGTGTCCTGATATTGTCGTGATTTAACTCCATTTACACACTCTAGCTTGGGCAGGGACGCTACTTTCAGTTACCTTCAATGTCTTTAGCAGACCTAGAATAATTCCTCATGACAGACCACATGCTTTCATTAAATGGTAGAATAACGAGTTTTATTTGATTTTCTCTCTCTAGCTATGGCCCTTAGAATTTATTACTCTTTCTGAATCAAGTTAAAGTTCTGAGAGTTTGCCGTTTAGACAATTTGCAAAGCTCTTAAGCAAGAGAACATCAAAACAACTACACGTGCCTCACAGTAGAACAGTCTTTCAGATGCCAAAACGTGTAACAATAAAGATTTCTTCTTTAGCTGTGCTGAACTACATAGAGCTAAAAATACATCTAAGTAATTCCTGGGAAATTTCTATTTATTTTTCTCTTTCAACTCACATAAATAGTACACAGCCATTTCTAATCAAATCATTCAACACACAGGTAACACCCTATTCCCTAAACAAGCTTATTATTTTTTATCATGAGGAGTGCTGCAGCTGACTCACTGGAGGGAAGGGATGGCATCCGGAGGAACCCTGACAAGCTGGTGGAGTGGGCCCATGTGAACTGTGAAGTTCAACAAGGCCAAGTGTGGGGTCCTGCACCTGGGTCAGGGCAACCTCCAGCATCAATAGACTGAGGGATGAATGGATTGAGCGCAGCCCTGCCAAGAATGACTTGGAGACACTGGTGGATGAAAAATTGGACATGAGCCAGCAACGCGTGCCTGCAGTCCAAAAAGCCAACCACATCCTGGGCTGCATCCAAAGAAGCATGGCCAGCAGGCTGAGGGAAGCGACTGCCCCTCTCCTTCTCTCTGGTGAGACCCCACCTGGAGTCCTGCATCCAGGTCTGGGGTCCTCGTAAAAGACATGGACCTGCTAGAATAAATCCAGAGGATGGCCACAAAAATAATCCAAAGGTTCCACAGGTTGAAACACCTCTCCTGTGAGGAAAGGCTAAGAGAGCTGGGGTTGCTCAGCTTGGAGCAGAGCAGGCTCCGGGGAGACCTTATCGTGGCCTTTCAACATATAAAGGAGGCAGGTCATTTAGCTGATGCTGCTCCCTCCTCAGAGCGTGGAATATGTCAGTTCTTTGGGAATTCATCTAATCATATACTCCTGTGGCAGTTCGAACGCTCACAGCATATGCAGGTTGTTGCAGAGAGCTTATCAACTTTTTGACTCAGCCTAAAAAGACCTTAAGACATCTATCAGCTACCATGAAAAGTATCTGGATTATGCCTACTTTGCTTCTGTCCTACATTCAGATAGAATCTTCTTAAGATTTCTACGCCTGCTGGAGTACAGCTTTCCCATAAACACTGAAGCAGAACAAAGGAGAAGAATGTTCGGTCATACCTCGAGTATTCCTGTGGATACGGGGAGGAGTACCAGGTCTGAATTTCATACTTGCCAAATTCAATGACAGAAGGGCATATTAATGAATTTCCAAGTGAAAGACTTCCAAGCTGAAATAAATTAAAACATCCTTATCTACACAGTCCATCTTACTCAAACTCACAGAGAATTCGGAAGATGCAGACATTGCTTTCTGACACTAAAAACCAGTACCAGCCATACTTCAAGCAAGCTTGTTATTCAGAAAAAGCAAGAATTAGCAAGCATTGTCATACCACATACCTCTGCTACCTTTCACACTGTTGCATGTCGTAGTTTTAAATACTCATTAGTACACAGCAAAATTTAATACAATCTTTTTTTCAGTCCTGTTGCTATTTCCTTTCTTGTTATTTCAACAGCCAAGAACAGAAACAAATAAATTGCTCCTGAGGTTAAAATCTGGAACATTCAAATATCTAACACAACACGTCAGTGTCTTCTGAGCTCTGAGACTATGTGTACTACTGTGAATGTAGTATTCACCAATACAATATTCAGGGTATGGCTATCTGCTTATCATCATGAGTGCAGAAGACTTACAGAAAAACCTCAACTTATTTATTAGAAGAAGAAAAAAAGGAAATATAATATTTGTAAATTACTTACACAACTTCCCCACTGGGAGTTACTCTAATAGTAATTCTTATTTGATGGGAACTAAACCCAAGGGAACTAAATGCTCTGCTTTTAAGTACACAAATGTTTTGTCATTTTATGAAGATTTTCTCTCAAAAGACTGTCACTCACACTATTAAAAATCCAAATATTCCCACTGTCCTTGCACTTTCATATGAACCATCTGGACTGCAAACCTATTAACAAATGAGACCATGTTTCATGCAGGAGGTCAGAAACTAATGTGAAGAGTGCCAGTGAATTACCTATATGCAAATTTAAGGTAGCAGAATGAAATAGCTATACACAGGACAATGGTTTAGGGTTTGAAAGGCTAATATTCAAAATCAACATTTTTCTAAGTTTCCTAAGAGGGACTGGTGTAGGCAGCAGCAGTCACCGCAGAATCTAATCCTAAGCATACACTTTTTAAGGAGCATTATGTACGTGAAAAAGGACATTAACCTCCTATGAAACTATTTAATCAAAGAGCTCCAAACAGAGCCATCAGTAACCGACTCATGTTTGTTTCTATTCTTACTCAGACGACAGAGAATATTTCAGTAGTCAGCCAAATAAGGTCTTACGAGCTTACTACCTGTATATGATCCACAACCACTTCATTACTTTTTTCCCCTTCAGTTTACAGATTTATTGCTTAGGCTTCTCCTTTCATGTTAGGCTACCTACTAGGACAGAAACTAGATAAAAGAGTCAATTTATCTTACTTCAACTCAAAAGCTAGATTTAATAACAACAAACTCCCTAGTATTTAAGAAAAAATATTAAGACAACATTATTAAACAAGCACAATCTTGGGTGCTAGAAGCTTTTGCTATTTGTGAGAGTTCCATGAGGAAAGGAAAAAACAACCTCTGCATTTTTGGTAACTGATACAAGGTTGCACACAACACAAGAATTTCACTCTATGGCAGAAGAAATCACCAAAACAGCAGTTTACGAGGGCAGCTCTTTACAGCTATAACTGCTATAAGCACTTCCTGCACTGTAGTTTCAAATGAATCACTATTATCGCCCAGTACAATAGGTCAATAACAAACACAAATACCACAGGCATCTGAGAAGTCTTAAAGAAAATAGAGTAATATGCACCTACAACAATAAGTCCTGCACCTGTGCCTTCTTTTCAGCAACAAACCCCTCCTCCAAATGAATGCCCAGTAGAGACCCAGCTCCCACACAACTGTTCGCACACCAGTCATTGGAAGAAAGCCTTCAACAGCAGATGACTGCTTCAGCCTCTCTGCTAGCTGCAGATAGCTCTGAATGACTTTCTTCTTGAACATTTAATATGCAGTACCTTTTCCTCAGCTCACTCAAAAGCCTTTGATATGTCACTGTATTTCCATTTTCTTTGGTGAGGCAGTTAGCTCAGTGTACATGCGCAGAGTCCCTGTATCAGCTGCATGACAACTCCGGTCAACCCTTTTCTTACCAAAACCAACCAACTAGCCACCTTAAAGTATTAAATCTACAACAAGAATTTTTCCCACGTGGGGGTTGAGGGAATATCTCCAAAACTTGTTCCTTTTCCTAAGCAGATGTTTGGAGATTAATATTTTCTCTGTTCTGGGTATATTTCCATTGCTTTCATTTTAGATCTTCAGTTATTTTTCTAAAAAATAATTATGGTCACAAGCTCTCATGTGCGATTTACTCAATGATGCACACGCTGAGTTTTTTTTAAAATCAATCCCGTAACAGAGTTTGAAATACGCAGTGTTATACAGTAGTGTTGTATTTGCACCTCAATAAAAGAGTTAACAGCACTTCATCTTAGTCTGGTTTATCACACACATGGTGCAGGCAGTTCAGTCTTGCCACAATTCATGGTCATTAACTCTCTTGGTACAGAGACTATATTTGGTATAACGGAATCAAACCAGACTACATCAGAATCATAGGTAAGCAAACAGAAGTCTAATACCTGGAGAAATTTAAAAGGACAGTTACACTTAGTGAAGCACTGTTCAGTGAAGTCACTGCATAAATTCAATCGACCCCTTTGGCTTCAGAAGGAGTTAAGTCATAAGACCATTCAAGTTACTGAAATGTACAGGTAGATACACACATTACACGTATGTGTATATGCACATATGTGCACAAAGACACACACAGTAATGCCCTATCCTGTTCCATAAGGAGTTAAAGTATCTCAAAAAAGAATGTTTTAATCAGCCAGAGGCCCTACGTAACCCATGCTGCTAGAAAAGAGTCCCACAGTCTGTATGTCTTGTTGGTTTTTCTTGTTGGGTTGGGGTCAGTTTTTTGGGTTTGTTTAAATTTCTTTTACAAATCTGGTATTTACTGTCGGACACTGAAAATTTAACTTTACCTGCAGTGCTTGTTCCTGAATATCTCTAAACAACTCCATGTCTTTCTCAGTTAAGACATCCTGGCTCCCAAAAAAACGCTCCTCATTTTCCTGTTTTCCATCCCAGCCATCCTGATTGTCTGTAAATGAGAAAGAAAATTGTCTTCACCTACATTTACAAAGGAGTACTTGCTTTTTAATGCAGCGACAAACACCTGGCTGTATTCAGATTTTGGATAAATGGCTTAGCACTATGCTCTTTTCTCACAAACAAGGATCACAACTATTTAAGTGCCATATCTGGTGCAACCAAAACCAGGACACTTACATTCATCACCCAATAAACACCCCTTCCACAAAAAAAGCAAACAAAACCCACAAGACACTTCACCTCACCCCCAAAGCACTAAGATACATGACTGTTCTTTCAGCACCAGCCAGGCTAATGCAAGTAAGTATTCCAAAGCTGTAAACCTTGTATATTACTGTGGAATATTTTCCACTGCTTGCTTCGGAACAATTCAAGTTATGAAACTCTTCAACACGACTGTAAAGATCTGAATACAGAGATTAAATCAAGTTCCAGTCATAGATTGTCTTAAGCTAGATAAGAAAACAAGGAAAGCAGAACTGAGTTCAAAATAAGGGATGCTTTCCAGAAACAAGGTGCCAAACTGCACAAAGCAGGCTCCCCTATGGCTGAGAAAATTCAGAAATGTCTGCATGCGAGCCTATACCATACATCGGAAACTCATGGATCCGTCAGGCTGGTTTTAATTCTCCGTTTCCCGTTTCACGCTTCTACCTCGCTGTTCCATTTTTATTAACCACTGCCTACTTTACATCTTTCATATGCGACATTACTTAGCACATTTCCTAGGGCTATCTGCAAGCCCCTCGTTACCAAAAGGCATTTTACTCTCACAGTAATCATTTAATCCCTCATCACACTTTGCCATCATATACAAAGAGGCAAAGGTCTCTAGGTCGCTTCCTTTTTCCAAATGGTATTCTACCTCAATGCACCACAGATAACTGCATTTGAGTGTTAACTTTCAGCTAAAAGTTTCCAGCCTCTAACAATTTTAGTCACTTCAACATCCTCGCCTTTGCACATTTTCTTGGTGTACACAATACTTACATTGGCAGGGTGAAAAATCTTTACCTGTGAGCCATTCTGAAGTACTAGATTTCCTGGTACCCTTCTTCCTGATCCTATACTGCTGAGAATAGTCTACCACTTCCCCTCGAGCTTTCCGTCCATCAGGGGAGGGAGTGAAGAATTTAGTAAGTCCATCTATAAGCCCTTTGGTTTTCTTGTTAAACTTCAAGGCGGTGCTGCCATCTCTGCAGAAGTCCAAGACGTCTGTCTGCTCCAGGTATCCTCCTTCTGATGATGCCGATTGGCTGGACAGAGCAATCTTACGCTTCCGACCTCGACCAGGGCCAGTTCGAACTTTGCTGAAAGGGCCTTTTGATCTAAAGAATAAGAAGGGTAAAGATATGGTCAGAAGATCTGGTGAGGTGGTTTGTTTTGGGTTGCAAAGCGGACTAGCATCTTCTCTACTTGTTTATCAGTCACACAGAAGCTAAACATGAACTGAAGAATTTCATAATGAAGGAGCCTGTGTACCCTAGAGGAGCCAGGATTCTAAACATCTCCTTAGAAGTACTGTACTACTATTCTCCATATTGAACATTATGGGCAATTCATTTGAGTATAAACAATAGATTTTCACCAAATTTAATGTAACATTAAAATTTAAAATCAGTAGCCAGAATCAATACATTGCAGAGAAGGTTTCGATTTATGCAGTCATAAAACATTTACATTTGTCATTTGCCAAAGTTTCTGTACTGATAGGAAATTGTTGTAAGAACTACATAGAAAGTTAATGCATGCAGGACATGCACATTGGCTAAGAACCTATACCACTGATAGTCATCTTATCAGAAATCAGTGTTGATCTCCAACCAGCTGCCACCTTTCAGGCTGGAAATTTTAAAACTCTGTTGAGATAACTGAGTATTTACCAATTCTCAGAGGGATTGCCCTAGACCAACTGCTGTTTTAGGAAGCTGACTGTTTTTAGCTACGATCTTTGCAGCTAAGAGGATAGAAGTAGGCTGTTTTTTCCTAAAAAGACAAACTAAGCATCCATGCGTAATTCTGTGGATATATTTTGCAAGTGAAATGATGGAACAAGAGCAAAGAAATTGTGAATAAATCATCAAATCAAAATTAAAAGACACAAGGCAGCAATAGCAGATAGCTAGCTTTCCTTCTGCCCCCCTGAATTATATCCGGAGTTCCTCTAAGCAAAGGTATCACACACACACTGAAAAAGATTAAGATGTTTAAGAGACATTCCCTCTATGTTTTTGTAAGCATTAAACTTCGTAAGTTTTTTTTCCAAAATATCCTTTGGTGCTATTGGTTAGAATCAAGTGGTAGTTCAACTTTTTTTTTACGCTGATCTGATGCCCAAAACAGAAGTTATTGTGACATGCTCCTTCATGGTTTTGTTCCCTGTACAGTTAATAGTGCTGCATCACTACAAGCACTGCAGAGCAACCTTAATTCAAGGAAATTACTCTGGCTGCAGTTATCCAAAGAATTCCCACCCACCAAAATCCAATTCCCTGATGACTGGCTAGCCCACAACCACCAGGACAAGGCCACACAATCTGTCCCAGCACAATATAGTGCTTCACAAACGCAGGAACACGTGGAATGGAAGCAGAAACGGGCCAAATATTTTCTGGCAGCAGTGTCAGATTAAATACACATCAAACAACCACCTCACATGCTTTATTGTAGATTATTTTGTTTCTCTAAACATCAGAAAGGGTTCTTGAGAAATGCAAAGCAAAACAATTATGCTGAAGAAGCAGCCATCCAGCACAGTTGACTTGACACGAACAGCAAAATTCATCTCTGACTATAAAGAATACTTCTAAACTAAATGGTGTTATTACAAAGAGTAAAAAATCTAGGCAAAAAGAAGCACTGCTATTACTTCTAGTCTTTCACAGCACTCTTCAGAAATTCTGTATTCAAGAATAACGAAAAGCTCTTAATTGTAACTCTCCTCACAGAGTAGACGAGACACTTCAGAAATACCCACTGCTCTACAGAATCCCACACCTCACTCCTTCTTATAGAGAGACTTACGTTGTACTTTGATTCTTTAACCTGTTCTTGGGACGTCCTATTGGGTTAGCATAGCGTCGTTTTATCTGTGCTGCCTTCTTGTGTAAAAGTTTCCTTCCTTTCTTCCGTGGCCGACATATTTGACATATCCACATACCTATAAGACACAAGTCCCCATCACTGAATGCAAGGGACATCTGTACAGGACAAACAGAAGCATTACAGGCCCCAGGCCTTCCGACAGAAAGGGCAGGAACAGTACCAAATGCCCCAATTATCACATATACATGTAAGAGATACTATGTGTATGTTCCAGCAATCTAAACTCAAGTCCTATTAATTCCAACCCTCACCTACCCCAAATATACTCCCCACAACGTCTCTTTAATTCATAGCACATTATCAGAACCATAAAAAAGTAACACATTTAATTATCCCATATTCTGCTTACAACTACACTACTTCCAACTATCTTTTATAGGAAAATTATCTTCTAACTACCAGGGAAGAATCTTCCACAGATAAGCTGATTTCTGATGGAAAAGTGAAGTTTGGTTGTACTTCAGGATTCTCTGCTGTCCAAATGGATTACAACTGCAAAAAACTTAGAAGCCCATCTCTTTCTTTTGTACAAGGCTATCCATTCAAACGGAAGCTAATCATTTTAATCTGCAAGGATCACTTCTATTCCCTCAAATCTAAAAGACTTTTTTCAAAACCCTTCTCAGACAGTACTGTACAGAAGCAGGAGACAGTGGAAAATCCGAATGTGAAGCTCTGACCCTTCTCTAGTTTCTAATACCTGAAAAAATGCTGCAAAGAACAAGCTACATGAGGCTAAAAGAGGACTAAATATGTGGAAGCACTTTCTACCCACCGATCTCTTCCAACACCATCTTAAATTACTCTTTCCATCACAAAGTCCTTACCTTTTGGCATCCTGGTAAGTGGGGGGTCACAGCACTCCATGTGAAAGCCACGGTCACATGAGTCACAAAATAGCATGTTATCCTGTTGAAGAGAGATAAAGTTAATCTCTCTTTAGAACTGCATCAGCATCAAGCCCTCCATTAATTTGTCGCAATCTCAGACAACACACACATAGTTTCCAACTACAGACACATCATGGTATTTCACAGGTCTCAGACTAACAGACTCAAACAACAGCTGCAAATATTTGACTCTAGAATGATTTTATTTTGCATTTTAACTGAACATCCACTAGACTGATATCCTCTTCATTCAGTCCATATTCCACTGTACTCACAGCATTTTTGCCCTGATCTCGACAGGAACTGCATGTTTTGCACTCAATACACTGCCATCGCAAGGCTTTCACTCGAACTGTCAACTCTGGAGAGAACTTCAAACAGGACGGATGACCTACAGAAAAAGGAGAAAATTATAGCAGTAAAACCATTCCACTGCTGTTAACACTCACAGATAGCTCAGAGAGAGATTACTTTATCAATTATGTATTCCTATGCAGAATTCTGGCTATCCAGATACTCCTATTTTAAGTGCTTCTATTCTTGCTCACTTGTAACACAAAGCCAACACCCTAGACAGCAAGTGGCAGGCCCACATGCAAAAGAACACCAGATAATTATTCGTAACTGAATTGAGAAACATGTGAAGACTGGTCATCATTACCACATTTTTAAAGAAACCTCCGGGAGCCAAAGTATTTGTGTTAGGTTAACTTAACTGTCTCTGCTCTGGGAGCATGAGATTCAGCTGACCTAACTGTATTATGTGCCATAGATGCATACTTCTCATACATATGGGTCAGGAGTAGTCACTATACTAGACTTCTCTGTCTCAAGTGGCAAGGTTATTATGAGATGCATACTCCTCATGTGTACAGGTCAGTAGCAGTCCCTATACCAAGCTCTTCCATCTCAAGTGGACAGGTTACTACTAGCAGCACCACAAATGGTCACCTACCACTGTTGCCACAGTCAGCACAAGAGATCAGCTCTTCAGGTTTCTTCTCCCGATTTTGCTCTTTTGTACCAAGGCAGAAACTGCAGATGGGAATTGGTTCAGCAACCGGCTGCGAGGAAAACAGACAATAAAAGCACTGAGTATATCAAGGAAGCAAACATAATACATAAAATCACACAGACATTCATATCCCATGTAAACAGTATGCAATATACACCATGTCTCACAGATTTTAGTTGGTTCTCACCACACAACACTACATTAACTGTAACCTGCATAGAAGTTAGAATTCTAAACACGAGATAAAATCCCAGGTACAAAGGAAAAGAGAATGGAATTCAGAGCTAGAGGAAACTTGGAAAAACAAGCTGGCAAAGAGGACTACAAATTAATACATAACTGAATGCAAAGTTAGAGAGAGTCGGTGTCTTATTCTGTCAACAAATGAATGGGCTGAGGTGATCTAATGGTGGAAAAAAGGTACAGATGACCCCAGAACACAGTAGTCTTACAAAATCCCATCAAGTATCCGGAAAACAGTAGTGCAATCATCAAAAGCATTCGCAATAAATGGAATAAAACATGTTACAGAACAAGTACAACAACTGTACAACTATTAACACAGTTATGAAAAATGAAAATAAAAGAAAATGCTCTTTTAAGAAATTACATGAGTATCCTGTTTAGCACTTAAAAGCAGCAGACGTAAAGGTTTGCTCTCTCTGAAAAAGTTTAGGGCATTAAACTTTATGTTGGGATAAGGATGTATTTAAGATGAGGCACAACACTAGCAAAATAAGAAATAGATATTAACTAGCCAACAATACATTTGGCCTGGAATAAGCAGGAGGTTTTTAAACCAAAGGACTGATCCAGTAACATTAAGTGCTGGATCTCATAATCTAGCAAATTCTTTCTAATCCAACTATACATTTTCTGAGACAAGTCTGTGATTTATAGTTTTCAGAGCAAAGATGTAAGCAAAATATGCTAAAATCACATTTAAAACACTGGAAACATGAAAAATGTTAGATTACGGTAAGTTTTGAGACACATTCTTTGTATAGCTGTATCATGTTACACTTGATGATTTCACACATACTTTTTCAGAGTATATTATACAGCTACATATGCACATACTGTTAATTACTGTACAGAAGCATATGCCAGAAGAACTTCAAGGAACCTTTACTATGGCTAAGCCAAAGCACAAGCTGTATCCAGAATAATTTCTTGCATAAATCAGGTTGGTTTATATTGCAGTAATATAGAAACTGGAAATTTCAAGCTGTATCTTTACTTCAGTGTACAGATCCAGTATACTTACAGACTGAGGTGTGTTCCTTACAACATCCACTAGACAGAAACAATCGGAACACCTTAAGAAAATTGCTATTTCAAAATTAAGCCACACAATGTGGAATGACTACTCGGGAATGAAAGCCTAACATTCCTCATCCTGAACACAAGAATTTATCTTAGCCCCAGACGATGTTGAAGTGTAAACTAATATGAAATCACCTGCCTATCGAACTGTTTCAGTCTGCAACACATTCATAGGTTTAGATAATTTAAGGATTCCTGCTCCTTTTGAGAAAGGGAGAAAACAAAACAACTGTAGACAGTTATGCCAAGCATAAAATCACTAACAACCAAGCAGAAGAGGGAAACCAGCACCTTCACTTCCACAGGAAGTATCTTTCCAGCCATAGTCACCATAGCAATGTTGACTAAAATCAGCTACATAGGGATCCTCCGTGCTCTTTAAACACAGACAGGTGACTGACTGTACACAAATTGTTCTCTTTTTGTTCATGGTGCCAGACAGCTAGCTGCTTCCAGTCAGTATGATGTTTACTGGGGGGAAAAGCTGTGTATTAAGGGTCTCTCAGTGCTTTAATTTCTTAGCAATCGAGATTTCAGGAATTACTTTTACCCACTACCTTCACTTGACTTCTTACCTTCAATCTCTTCTTCCTGAGGAACACTTACAACCTCTTGGAACAAGCTATTATTAACTAACCTTCATCTTTCCTGTAAGAATAGTAACTGGCTCTTTTTCGTTATTTTATTAAATTTCAATACCACACAAAGTAGATAAGCACCATTATTCCCATTTTCAGATAAGAAAATGGTCAGAGAAAATTCTTTGAGTAATGTCAACAAGCAGATCAGCATGAGAACTAAAGAGTGCAGTGATTCCTCTCCAGGCATTTGCTGGTCCTCTCTGAAAGAAAGGCAATGATCTTGATCCACCACAAAGTTGTGGTAAAAAGGTTTAGAATACTTTAGAATCCAGTTTGGCACGTTGATTCATCCTCTATATTTTGTCATGTATTAGCTCAGTTAAAATAAAAACATATTTTAAAAAATTTACAAGAACTCTTTGTCTCCTTTTAAATAAAGCGAACTGTCACTTCCCCAGTATTACAAGCGCAGCTGTGCCAGAAATGGACTCAGTGAACATAATTTCACATCCCAGAATCATTCACTTTCCTCTCATTTCCGTCTGAGTTTATGATAAAGTCTCATAGAGAATCTCAGCTACATTGTAACAATCTTTCAGACAGAAGCTAAAAAGGAACATTTATTCTTTCTAATAGTTAAACTTTTATGTGACTGCACATTCTGCAGCATCTATTACCTCTGCAGGTAAGGCTAAATCTTACTTCGACACAAACGGTTTACTGAGCTTTAACTCATAGTTAAGAACTAACAAGACATTAGAGTTGCACTACCTAACGCTGAGGTTTACATCTGGTATAAAAAAAAAAACAAACCACAAAGCAGAAGTGTTAAGAATGACAACCAAGCTATGACAAAAACATTTATACTACTCTACACACTTCTGCTAGCTTTGAAGTTACCAATTCAAAGCAGAAATAAGTAAATGAAGACTGCCAAAACCACAAAAAGAAACCATGATCCAAACCCCCAGCATTTTCTTGCTCCAAATATAGCAGAATCCCAGTGATACTGCAATAGAACAGAAGAAGCAGAAAATGTTGTTTTTCTTAATACAAAAGGGATAATATACTTTCAGAACTGAAACCTGCACCAAATTTCAATCTAAATTACTTATGTATCTCAAGAAAACATCTATGGCTTTAGTTCAAAGGGCTGTAAAACAATGAGTTAACTCATAGAGACTTGACATAAGCCTAAAATGCCTACCGTGCAAATATGGATATATGGGATCAAACTGATAAAAATAAGTACTCAGAAATGCTGTCAACATCTAGTTAAAGAACCGTAACAATTTCATTTTCCACTATATATGTAATCACAGTAGCACCTGGAGACTACTTATTCATGGCGAAAGGCTGTACCCCAACAACACAAGACAAAGAAACCTGGCAAACCATATTTGCGATCACAGAGTAAGAACTGATGTTTTTACCATCCCTTGCAGATTACATCAAGAATGCATTTGGTCTAACATCTGCAAGTGTAGCAAAACGGACTTGAACATCAATAAAGTTTAACATCCTTGTCAGCGATGCCGACAGTGGGACTGAGCACACCCTCAGTAATTTGCTGATGACACCAAGCTGTGTGGTGCGGTCAACCCGCTGGAGGGAAGGGATGCCATCCAGAGGGACCTGACAGGCTTGAGATGTGGGCCTGTGCGAAACTCAGAAGTTCAACAAGGTCAAGTGCAAGGTCCTGCACCTGGACTGGGGCAATCCCAAGCACAAATACAGGCTGGGCAGAGAATGGACTGAGAGCAGGCCCCCCGGAGAAGGACTTGGGGGTGCTGGTTGACGAGAAGCTCAGCATGACCCAGCAACGTGCACTCACAGCCCAGAAGGCCAACCGTACGCTGGGCTCAATCCCCAGCAGCGTGGGTAGCAGGGCGAGGGAGTGGATTCTGCCCCTCTGCCCTGCTCTGGTGAGACACCCTCCTACGCCCCCGTGAGTCCTGCGTCCAGCTCTGGAGCCCTCAGCACAGGACAGACCTGGAGCTGTTGGAGCGGGGCTAGAGGAGGCCACAGCCATGATCCAAGGGCTGCAACACCTCTGTTGTGAGGAAAGGCAGAGAGAGTTGGGGCTCTTCGGCCTGGAGAACACAAGGCTCCCGGGAGACCTTATTGTGGCTTTTCTGACCTGAAAGGGGCTTACAAGAAAGATGGGGACAGGCTTTTCAGCAGAGCCTGCTGCGACAGGACACGGGATAATGGCCCTAAACTAAAAGAGGGTAGATTTAGATTCGGTATGAGAAAGACATTCTTTACAGCAAGGGTGGTAAAACCCTGGCATAGTTACCCAGAGAGGTGACAGATGCCCCCTCCCTGGAAGTATTCAAGGCCAGGTGGGATGGGGCTCTGAGCAACCTAGTCTAGATGGTCTGTAAGGTCCCTTCCAAAAAATTCTATGATTTTAGGACTTAATTACGTGGTCACACCTTATTAACTCTATTACTGAATTGCAAAATAAGCACATATAAGACATTCAAAACTTTTGGTACCACTCAAAAATCACATAACACCATTTGGTAAATATTTTTTCGTTTTTTGTTCCCTCCAAGAAATGAACAGCTTTCCTGCTTCTGCAGGAGTCATACACTACAGCCCCTGACAAAGCAAGTGTGAAAAACCGAACCTCCTCACAAAGAATGAAATATTAAGGGGATTTCTTCCCCCTGGTCAGCGTCACAGCAGACACCATGGAATGAGATAAATCATGTGAAAGAAGACAGTAAGACTGCAAGATTTTTGCCAGCAGTATTAGGTCTACATGAAAGGTACAGTAAGAATTAACAAATTATTATTGCACAGCAAGTAACAAAAATAAGGAGAACAGAACAACCTACAAGAAGGGGAAGGGAGAAACGAACAGCAAAAGGCTCCTTGCAGTGAGCAGATGATAACATTGTAAATGATGCAAGAACGGAATAAAAATCTCCTATCTATTTTTGCTTTATATGTTTAAATATTACAGACAAATCCAAGAAGAAAATAAAACAGAAATTAGATTATCAAGACTATTATTAGGATTGTATGTCTAGCTCCAATATTCATATAACAGCAGGATATGGAAAGAATTTTCAAAGGACAGACAATAAAATTATTTAAGAATACATGACCTACAGAAATTAATATACTTATG